TTGGGAGCAAAACCAGCCTGGAAGAGCCTTCCACAGCCCCAGACACAAAGTGGCAACCCCGAGGCGCGGGTGGCCACCACCCTTGTCAAACTCCGAGTCTCACCTTGGAAACAAATGCCACTTTTAAAAAGTTGGGCTGGCATTTGATTAACAAAGTTAGCTGCCTTACACTGTAGCATGCAACGCTATTGTTAGCATCTTCGCGGAGATGTGCAACCACCACCCTTGTCTCATTCCAGAACATTCCATCACACCAGAAAGTAACCCCGGCCTCATCAGCCATCACCCCCGCCCCCCAGCCCCCTCCCCGTCCGTGGATGGGCCTATTCTGGACGTTCACACACGTGGACTCACACCCCGCGTGGCCTCTCGTGTCTGGTTCCCTCCCTGAGCGTCACATGTTCAGGGTCCGTCCACGGGGCAGCGGGTGTGGGCGCCTCGCTCCTGCTCGCGGCCGAGGGATGTGCGCGTGTGCGGGGGGACACGGTCGTCCGTGGACGTGCGCCTGCGTGGTGGACGCACCTGAGGGGCGTGTGCGTGCGCGGTGGGCCCGGTCTTCTGTGGACGTGCGCGTACGCAGAAGACGTGTGATGGGTATACGTTCACACGTCGATGGACGTTTGCGTCTCGGTTGCTGTGCATCAGGCTGCTGTGAACGTCGTGCGTGCTTGTCGGGGGCCCCCCGTTGCCCCCCCCCCACCCGGCTCTTTCGGACACGCGCCTAGAAATGGTTGCTGCGTGGAACTTTCTGAGGAACCACCACCAGACTGTTGTCCGCAGCGGCTGCCCCATCTCAGTGGCCCCGATTTGCCCACATCCTGGATGACACTTGGTATTTTCTGTCCTTCAGTCGAGCTGTCCTGGTGGGTATGCAGTGGTGTCTCATTGTGGCTTCGGTTTGCGTTTCCCTAATGACTGATAACTTTGTGCGTCTTTTCATGGCTTCTTGGCCTTTGGTTACTTTCTAGGGGAAGTGTCCGTTCAGCTTCTTTGCCTGTTTCCAAACCGGGCTGTTTTTCTGTTGACTCATAAGACTTCTGTGTGCATTCTGCAACCCAGCCTCGTCCTTCCTTGTCCGTGGTCCTTCTCTCTTGCCCCCGTCCAGGGTGTCACAGCTCGGAAGGCCCTGCTCCAAAGATGG